GCCATCGCGCCGCCAGCACCGGGAGCGGGAGCGGGGGCGGACCGGGGCGGAGCGCGGTGACCGCCCCGCCCCGCCGAGGGCGCAGAGCGGCTCCGAGCGGTGCTCGGGTGGCTGCGCTGTCCCGCTCCTTCCGGGCCGGCGGCAAAGACACCCGGTACGCCGGGCCAGTCTTCCCCAGGCTGCAGCCGGTCTGCAGCTAGAGCCTGCGGAAGGTGGGAAAGAGGGGAATGGGGCCAGAAAGGCGGGCGAGGCTTTGCTGCTCCGCTTTCCCCGCGAGCCTCCCCGCAGCAGAGTGCGGGATCGCAGGGAAAGAGCACTCGGAGCAGAACAGAGTGCCCTTGGCGGTGCCAGACTGGGGAGGTTTTGCGGGCTAAATACGCGCATTTGATTTATAAGAAGGCACCTGTATTGGTGTCAGTAYTGAACTAACCTAGGAAGTCATGCARTCATGGAATAGCCTGAGTTGTGACACATAGGATCATCATAGTCCAATTTCTGTCCCTGCGCAGGACAAGCCCAGGAATCACAGAGGATGCCCGAGAGTCCAAACCCTCGTTGGAATGTGTCAGGCTTGGTGCTGTGACCATTTCCTTGAAGATCCTGTTCCAGTGCCCAGCCACCCTCTGGGTGAATTTTCCTTATTTTCAACCTAAACCTCCCCTGACTCAGCTTCAGAGCCATTCTCTCTTTCATTCTGCATCCACAGCAGTATCCCGAAGCCCCCACGGGGGTCTGTGGTAATAAGGGGAAGGAGTGTGGCTTCCAGTCGCCTCTAGGGCTCCGGCCAGCCTTCTATGTTCCTGGGCTGCGCGCCGTGTCCCATCGCCAGCTCCACACGAGGGAGCGCTTGCAAAGCGTTCGGACTCGCTCCCTGCGCTCCCAGCCTGAAAATGCAGCCCAAACGAAATGACACAGTTAGAAATGAGTATCGCTAAAGCTGTACCGAAAAGGGCACCAGGAAGATGCTTCCACAAATGCAGCCCTGCATTCGGGAATAGAACTTTCTGTTCCCCCACCACTTCCTTGCAACAAAAAGAAGAACGTTCTGCCCTGCTCCTGGCGCTGCCCTGCTCYGAGCAGAGTGATGTTGGAGGACAGTGAACACTCCCCTGCCAGGTTTAGCACAGGCAGCTCCGAGTCGAGTGACTCCYTGCTCCAAGGAGGGCATCCCAGACRCTGTCACCAGGAGCTGAGCCTGGGCATCACTGCCATCCACCAGCATCTGCACCCCACRGTTCCTTCCCAGCCCACAAAAAGTGCCTGGGGCCAGTAGCCTTCATCTCAGCTCCTTCTTCCCAGCGAGTGGTGAGGGCTGGGTGCCCACCAGGCACTACCAGGAGCTGGAATGGTCAGTGTGGCCYGGGCAGCGCTGGAACGACAGTGTCCCCCCTTGTAGCGCTGGCGGTGGTGACGTGCTCGCTCTCACAGCACTGCAGCCAGCACAAGGCAGAGAGCCAGGCCATCTGCACGAAGGCAGACCAAAGGGGGAAAAAAAAAAAAAAAAAGGGATTGCAAGCATCCAGTGCCAGCGTGGCACAGCCCAAATAAAAGGTTTGCAGATGCTGCTCAGGCAGGATTAGGCCTCCAATGTGCTAAGTCTCGGCTCTCAGTGAGCCTAATTGCTGCTGCAATAAGCCCTGGCTGGTCCTTTTCTGAACCGTGCTGCCCACACCCCAACCCCCCCCGGCAAACTTTTTTTTTTTTTTTTGCCGCAAAGCTTATATTTGCCATGCATATGTTCTCCCTCCCCGGTGGGGTCTGGCCAGGAGAAGGAGGGGAAAAGCAGGAAATGTGCACATGCCATTTATTGCTCTGCTCTTGGCAGGAACTGTCCCACCACTCTGCCCCTGTCCAGCACAGCCAGGTGACAGCACCACTACCTGGCTCTGCACCACCCACTGTATTGGGAAACCTTCCAAATCGGAATTACTCAGATTTCAATAAAACCTTTGGATAATTTTCCGCTATGTTTTGGCTGGTGGATGAACCTGGAGGTGTTCCAGGAGAGCTGTCGAGGCACGTGCATGGGCCAGTTCAGCAACTGCCACGAGATGTGTCAAAGGAAGGCACAGATTGCAACACGGAGCGTGAAAACCAAAGATACACCACAATTTTATTCATGGATGTGTAATAAATAAACAGTGGACAATACAGGAAGAGCCACATTCAAAAATCCGGATTGCTAAAGTGCTTTTAAACATAAATATAGGGCGACCAAGAAACAGCTCTGACATTAACACTTTTTACAGACAATTACAAAATATCTTCTTATGTCAATTCACAAAAATTGTTTAATTGCTYCAGGGTACTATGGCTTGCTTTTCAAAAAAGGTCTGTTCTATCATGCATAGTGTGGCAAGTGACATTCAAAAGTGTCCAAAATCATTGCATAAACAAAAACGACCTTACCCCCTTCTCCCAAATACRAGTTAAGGAAGCTACACAGTGTAAATCCAGTGATAAGGCTGCGTTGGCAGGCCAGATCCTCAGGAAGTATRAACCTGCCTGTCTGTCAGGTTACACCAGCTTGAGGAGGAACCCTGCCACGTTTAAAAACCCTGCTGCTCCTCGAGGTGGAAGAAGAGAATGCTCGGCGTGGAGGGAGTCGCACACGGGCGCTGCGCAGGGGTGGAAGCGCTCAGAGAAGGCGTCTGTAAACTCCTGCACTGTCCTTGTGTCAGAGGAAGGAGCAACTCCCATCGTGTCACTCCTCTCTGTGCTCCTGGCTGCCTGGGGAAGCGAGCCCAGCACGGAGGGGAAAGGGGCTCCTCCCCTGCAGCAGCCGGTGCTGACCACAACGCGCTCCCATCCTCGCACTGCCCCTGACTGGGGCTCCCCTGCCACCCTCCACCCTGGCTCTGCTGAGAAATGAACAGCTTGAAAGGGACAGGGGGATGTGTGTGCCCAGTTTTAAAATGCCCTGAATTCAGATAAAAGTCCCGTTATTTAAGAAAAAAAATAGATATATCAATAAATCAATAAATATTATGATTTCGCCAGGACGCCGCGAGGTCTGGCCTCCTCCAGGGCAGCCCAAGCTCAGTGGTCCCTGTCGTTCTGCTCTGTGGGGGTGTCCCCGTTGATGTACTGCCTCAGCACACCCCTCTTCTCGTGCTTGGCTGTCCTGGAGAGGTCGATGGCTGTGTCCTCTGAGTCTTTCGCGGGTCCGAGCTTGTCGGATCCCTTCTGGGAACTGGCCTGCTTCCCTTTGAGTTCCTCCTCCTCCTGCTCCATCCGCCAGCCATCTGCCAGCTTCTCTTGGCTCTCTGCCTTCCTGCTCACCTCCATGGACTTTTTGTGCATACCTTGCAGAGAGGAAAGAGCAAAGTCAAGGGTGCCRGTTGCTTATTTCTGCCTGGGACCGCTCAGAATCGCCTCCTGYATTCCTGCTGCTTCCTTCAGCCCTTGCTTGTATCCCAAGGAAAGCTCTCYCTAGCTGCCAGCCTTTCCCAACCCAGAGCCCTCCACCTGCTCTCTGCAGCCCGAGGAGATGGCTGGTGGCAAAATTAGTCTGTTCCTCCCCTGTAGCAGGGAGAGTTGTGTTATAATAATCCATCCCAACCTGGATTTTGCCTGTGTATGAGAAGAGGGCAGCAYTAATGTTATTTTCAGTTTGGGGGCGGACAGTGGCGATTTCTTCAAAGCCTTTCAGCTCCCCCACTGCCTGCTGGCACTACAGAGTGACACCCACCCACATGCAGGCACCTGTCTGGCACAGCAGGGAGAGGGTTTCCTTTTCCTAGCTATCCTTTGCAAGGAGGAAGTGGAAAACCCTGGGCACCTGGCAGCCYGTGTACAGCCCCATTCCTTCTGGAAGAAGGCAAGGATGGCCTCGTGAAAGAAGCTGAGCCCAAATTCCACCAGAGGCAACCCAAGCTCCCACTCACCCAGCAGCCACGGGGCGCAGGATCCCACGAGCCCGCTCTTGGCAGAGTTGATGATGGACTCGGGCAGAGGGATGGAATGCCTCACCATGGCCCCGTAGAGGCCGTACTCGGCCATCACGCTGCTCCGGCCCCAGCACTTCTCCCGCTTCCGCCACTTGGCTCTTCGGTTCTGAAACCAAACCTTCAGGGGTAACAGCCAGGAGAGCACGGACGGGTGGGGTTGGGGAGGATACGGCCCCCGTGGTGCCCGTTGGGGACGAGGGAATGCGCATCCAGGGCCAAAGGAGAGCCGTGGGGTGCGTGGAGGGGTTTGGGGTGTGGACATGGGGTGCGGACACGCAGGCGGCACCGGGAGGGCGGCCAGGGCGGTGTGTGGGGAGGGGGGCGAGGGAGGGCACACACGTGGGTGTCAGAGAGGGGAGGAAGGGGGGGAGAAGGGGCACACGTTAACACGAGGCTGGTCGTGACACAGGAGGGTGATCCCAGCCAAAGTCACCCTGCGCTCCGAAGCATTAGCAACCTCTCCAGATAAAGAATGCAGTGACAATGACAGGGTGCTCAGGTCCCTCTCCCCACCCCCTTCCTGTATTTGAAAGTTCGAGGGGTGCAGATATAACCGGGCTGCTGCCCACACCACCTCGTTATTGAGCTACAGAGCTGTTCCACAGTGGAGCAGGATCAGGCCCCAAAATGCCACGTGTCCCTCCAAGGGGCAGGCTAGTGGGCAAGCTCGTGTGTCACAGCTCAGCCCAGCAGCTCCGAATTGCTCTCAGCTCCTGCCCGAGTGGGAGGACAGAGCCAAGTTGCCAACACTGAGCAACTGCTGAGGCCAGCTCAGCCCCCTGGTTCTGCGTGTCTGTTTGGAGGCTGCTCGATGCCAGCGGGCAGAAGCTGAGCCTCCCCCCGGGCTCCCCGCAGCATTTTAGCACCACCACGTTCCCAGCACCTGCACTCGCTGCCGCAGAGCAGAGCCGGCCGGTGCCGGCAGCCCGCAGGCTCTACGGAAGAGAGAGGACCGCTGCAGCCACATACCTGTATCCTGTCCTCCGGCAGCTCCGTCTTCACGGCCAGCATCTCCCGGGCATAGACGTCGGGGTAGTGCGCTTCGTTGAAAGCCTTCTCCAGCTCCTCCAGCTGGTGAGCTGTGAACACCGTCCTGCCGAGAGGAGAGAGCATCCTGTCACACCGTCCGGCACGCAGCGAGGCTGGCAGCACCTCCCCGCTCGCCGCCTTGAGGTTTTCCTCCGGAAAATCCTCCCCCATCCCAGCTGCAGCGCTCCTCTTTCCTTTTTTTCCTCCCTTTAACCCCTTGGGGATACCCACCATCCCGGCGTGGGGATCAGAGGATGGTGGCAACAGAGAGGAGGTGAGAACGGGGACAGCCTGGCTCCCGGGCTCTACCTGTGCCGGCGTTTCTTCCTCTTGATCTGGGAGCTGGACATCTTGAGGTCGCTGGCGTCCCCAGACAGGCTGTCCTCATCTGGCAGCAGCATGCGGGAGGGGAAGAGTCACGTTCCCGTCGAGAGCGGGGCAACCGAACCCATCTCCCCCAACACGGTTCGGGCCGCCCGCGGGGAGCGGGTCCCGTCCCACAGCCGAGCCCGAGGCGCCGCAGCGGTGATGCCATCCCGGGGCAGGGGGTGGGATGGGAGCCCAAACTTGCCGGAGGATGGAGGGCACGGCATCCCGGCGGGACGGGGAGCGCGGGAGCCGATCGCKCACCGGCGGGAGGATGCCGGGAGGATGCCGCGGCTCCGGACGGGGGCCCCGTGCGCGCCTGAGCGGCCACCCTCCACCCCGACCCCGCTCACCGGAGATGTTCTCCTTGTGGCGGCGGGCGGCGGGAGGCGGCCCGGGAGG